ACAAGGTAGATGGATACACAATGTATTCAATCTGGAAAAAAATTGAAAATTCTGGGAAACAAGGTGAAAGGAATGAACAAAACATATAACTCTGTAGGAGACAAGGTGAATAGATTGGAGGAAAAACTATCAGATGTACAATAGAAGTTAGATAAGGATTTATTCAATGAATCCTTGATAAGAGAAGAAAAAGAAGTACTGTTACAGTTGGAGAAATGGCAAAATGTGCAGGAAAAAGTATATAGACAGAAGTCAAGGGCAATATGGATCACAGCAGGTGATTCAAATACAAAATTCTTTCATGGACACTTGAAAGCAAGACAGGCTAAAAACAGAATATCAACCATTTACAAAGAAGATGGTCTGAAGTTGACTGATCCTGTACTGGTAGAGAAAGAATTCACTGGTTTTTTTGAGAGGTTATTGGGAACAAAGGTAGCTGAACTGCCTTGCCTTGATGTGAATATAGCTAGAAATGGTCCATGCTTGAAGAGAGAACATCAGCTGGAATTGATTAAAGCAGTAACAGAAGCTGAGATACTTCACGGGTTGAAACAACAGCCTAGAGACAAGGCACCTGGTATTGATGGCTTTCCAGTGGAATTCTTCAGAGAGTACTGGCATATAGTTGGTGTAGAGGTGATCAAGGCAGTGATAGAGTTCTTCAACACAGGGAAATTACTGAAGGAAATATGTAATGCTACAATCACATTGGTGCCAAAGGTAGCCAGTCCAACCTATGTAAAAGAGTTTAGGCCTATAGCTTGCTGTACTACTGTGTATAAACTCATAGCTAGGATACTCACAACTAGACTAAAGTCAGTGGTGGATCATATAGTTGGACCAGCTCAATCAGCATTTATTGGGGGAGAAGCATACTGGATAATGTGATCATTGCTCATGAACTGGTGAAAGGATACAACAAAAAAGGAGTGTCCCCAAGATGCATTATTAGAGTAAATATAACGAAAGCATATGATTCTGTTGAATGGCCTTTCCTACAGATGGTGCTACTGAAGTAAGGGTTTCCTAGCAAGATAGTTCAACTGATCATGGAATGTGTAACAAATGCTAGTTACTCTATTCTGATCAATGGAGGTTTGACTAAAAGGTTTAAAGCAGAAAAGGGATTGAGGCAGGGGGATCCTATATCCCCATACCTCTTTGTCCTAGTAATGGAGTATCTCAACAGAACCTTGAAGGCTCTCAAAGATGTTCCAGATTTCAATTTTCATCCAAGGTGTGCAAGGCTTAATCTCACTCATATCTGTTTTGCAGATGACCTTATAATGTGTTGCAGGGCTGATAAGATATCAATCCAATTATTACTAGATAAATTCAACCATTTCTCTAAGGTGACAGGTCTTAAGGCCAACCTAGAGAAGAGTTCTATATATGTGGCTGGTGTGAGTCTGGATTTCAAGGAAATGATATGCTCAGAGTTTCAGTTTAAAATGGAGACTCTACCCTTTAAGTACTTGGGGGTACCACTGTCTTCCAGGAAGCTGTCAATACATCAGTGTTTACCTCTGGTGGAAAGGATCACAAATAGAATAAAGTGCTGGATTTCAAAGTTGCTGTCATACAGTGGTCGATTGCAGCTGATAAAAAGTGTACTATTTGAAATGCAAACATATTGGGGACAGGTATTCATTATTCTAAAGAAGATTATACAGTTAGTAAATGCTGTATGTCGAATCTTTCTATGGACAGGCAATTACAGCCCCTCAAAAAGACCTCTAATTGCATGGGAGAGAATATGTATGCCTACTTCTGCAGGGGGAATAAATGTGATTAGCTTTGAATGGTGGAACAAGGCTGCTATATGTAAAATGATGTGGGCAATACACATGAAAAAGGATGCGTTATGGATCAAATGGATACATGCTATGTACATAAAGAAGGAAGACTTTACTGTGATGCAGACACCAAGGCAAGCTAGTTGGTTAGTCAAGAAGATCTTTGATATTAGGGATTGGTACAAGAAGATAGAAACAGTTGCAAACATGGATAAATTCTGTGTGAAAGGCAAATTCAGTATCCACAAAATGTATACTCTATCAAGACCTCAGTACCCTAAAGTTGAATGGAAAGCATTGACGCTGGGAAATGGTATTCCTAGGCACAACTTTGTCTTGTGGTTAGCCTTAAATCACAGACTGACTACTGTGGATCGCCTTGCAAAATGGGGAATTCAAGTAGACCAAGACTGTGTATTATGTAAGAGAGGGCAGACTAAAAATATGAAACACATATACTTTGAATGTCAATATACAAGGTATATTTGGAGCAAGCTGCTGGCTTGGATGGGGGAAAATCACCAGATAGGCACATGGCTTGAAGAGGTTGCCTGGATGAGTAAACGAGCAAGAAGTGTTCGAGCCCAAAACAGCATTCTGGTCTTCTTGTTTGCTGCAGTAACGTATCAAGTATGGACAGAAAGGAATATGAGAAGATTTCAAGGGAAGGAGAAGGAAGCAGAGAGAAAGATTAGAGACATTGTCCTTCAAATCCATATTAAAGGATAGCAAAATGCGAAATGGAAGAAGAGTTTTGAGCAGCTGAATAGTTTTCCATAGGAAGTATATGTCTGTATTTGGTTGCTATTGTATGTTGAATTAGTCAAGAGTGTTTTTCCAAAAAGTAGTTAAAGTGGTTGTATTGATGTAATGAGTCTAACTCTTGAGTCCTAAAGAGTTAGAGGTACTGTATATTTGTTCTTGGTTAAATAAAGTTTATTTTGACCAAAAAAAAAAAAATACTATACTAATCTTTTTTCTTTTGTGATCTAGTTTTTTTAATCTCTAACGCTCTTTTTATAAAATAAATTTATGTAAGATTTTTTTAACTTGAAAAATAATTTTACTCATATGATGAATTTAAAAAAATAACTGAACTGAATTCTCTTGCTAAATAATTAATTGAAAGATTTGATTATTTGGTCTTAACATAAAAAATAATTTATTTTCTGTTGATTCAGATTCTTAATATTAGTTCATCTCTTGTTTTGAATATTTAATCGTAATTATAATTTTATCCACCATGAATTCTATTTTAAAGAGTAAAAAGACCAATCTGACATTCTACTTTTAGGTCTTTATGTTTACATGATCATTAGCGGTATTACCTCTTATTAACCTATTTCTTTCTCTTTCTGGCACATTTATATTCTTTAAAATTTTCTTAGTTGTTCTATAATAATTGGGTATATTTTTGATACTACACAAAAAATTAATAATAATAAAATATTATTTGAGTAAGAAGGCAGTTCAAATATAATATAAAAATATATTATCGTGGGGATTTTTTTCTTAATTTTAACGCTTTATGCAGTCCATTTAGCATTGCTTTTATTTTTTCTCTATATTGGATATTATGGAGTGTTAATGTATAACCAATGCGTATGATTCTTATGAAATTGATTTTATTAAACCTTCCTACATATTTAATAAGAATCCAATGGACAAAATTTTGTTAATTTTAAAATCTTAAATATTAAAAAATTAAGATAGAAGTTATTGTAGACCAAAAAATAAATTATTATAGTTATGTCCTTTCTCTATGAGTTCTTCTGTTTAATATTTTAAGGTTATTTGGGTCTATCAATGTTGTATTCGTAATTTTATAATAATATACGCTCTCCGTTTTCTAAATGAATTTGGACAATATAATATATTCTCGATTTAAATAAGTAATAGAACAAAATAATACGTTTTCAAATTAAATTAGTAATAATTTTTCTTTATGAAGTATATCCTAAAAGTAATAAGACTTCATGGTTAAAAACATATCTCTATCCCGAAAGTAATTATACTAATAGGATTCATAACGGTTATTATGTAGGATTCCAAGCGTGTAGTATTATGTCCTAAAACTGATAGGATTAAAAAGTTAATATCTAGAATTCCGATTATGTTATTTTATTATGAGTTATTATGCTTAACATTAAAAGGTTATTTTTATAAACCAACATTATATTCATGCTTTTATAATAATATAGATAGATATATGTAGGCTCTCCTTTTTCTAAATGAATTTGAATAATATAATACATTCTCAAATTAAATTTCTAATAGGAGATTATAACACGTTTTCAAATTAAATTAGTAATAGGAATTTTTAAGAAGTATATCCTAAAAGTAATAGGATTACATGACTAAAGATATTTACTTATTCAATTTTATATGAATTAGACATCCCGAAAGTAATTATACTAATAGGATTCCTAAAGGTATGTCCTAAATCTAATAGGATTATAAGGTAATATCTAGAATTCCGATTATGTCCTTTTATTATGAGTTATTATGCTTAATATTATAAGGTTATTTTTGTAAACCGACATTGTATTCATGCTTTTATAATATATATATATATATATATATATATATATATATATATATATATATATATATATATATATATATATATACATGTATATATATATATATATATATGTGTGTGTGTGTGTGTGTGTGTGTGTGTGTGTGTGTGTGTGTTGAACATGCTGCATGGTGGGTTAGTCGAGGTTCGCACAAATTGATCTGGACACAACTGAGATGTATTTGTAATGTTCCGTCACAACATTTTGAGACATGAAAAGCTCCATCAGAACATCTCCCTTTCTTGGGAATGACGAGCATTAAGGGAGAAACCTATTAAGAAAAGAAGAAAAGGAGAGTTAACCTCTGTGTTGATACTAATCAGGAGGAGCATAACCCATATGACCATCCTCCTGAAAAACATAGCTGAAATATCCTATTAGGCAGCTTCTGGAATACCCAGAGAAGTAGAGTGAGATGGTGACAGATTATATATAACATACATTGACATTGAGTTTCACCTGCAAACACACTTTTGTTAAGTTCTGCTCCAGGGCTCTTTAAGGTGGTTGTTTAAAAGAGATTAATTTGTCAAAAGAAAAGTATTAATATTTGACAATTTTTACACGAAACTATGAGTGTATCTATGCTGTAACGGAAAAAATCTTTCTTGCATCGTAGGGTGTGGATCCATCCATAAGGCCAGAAGTTTGGGAATTTCTCTTGGGGTGTTATGCTTTGGGCAGCTCTGCTAAGTATCGAAAGAAGCTGAGGACTGCTAGAAGGTATTTGCCTTCCAGTTACTGCATATTCCATTGAAAATGTGTTACACAAAAAAAAGGTATACACATGCAAACTAAGCAACCATTAAAACAATTATTAAAGTGTGGGTAACCTAATAACCATTTATCATAAGTAGCAACTTGTTGTTTGTGTTAAATTTGGTTTGAGTCCATCATGATTTTTCTTTTAAGATGGGTATAACATGCGTTTTTGTGCAGGAGAAAAAGTATTTGTGTTGCAAATGATTTGGGTTGAACCATCTACATTGAAATATAGAAATTATTAGTGACCTATATAAGGTGGATAAAGAAAATGTCTTTTTTTCTTTCTTTTAGATAGTTTGGTCTCCAAAGGAAAATAGCATGTAATTATTTATAATGGATATTAAATTCTTTAGTTCAACTATATACTAAGTAGGACAAGCATTTTAATTTCACTGTGTATTAAGAAATTTCACGTTGACATACTCCTAATATTCACGTGATTGAAAAATTGAAAAATCCGAAAAAGTTACCTAAAGATCCAATTTTATGCTGGTCTGATTTAGTTTATAGATTTAGCAAACTGACATAGTTGCTTTGGTAGTTTTTTAGGAAGAAAATGATCAAGTCAAATCAAACCATATACTCCCCCTACCAGCAGCGATGAATGAACACCATTATGAGGTCATCCAGATATGGTGCCGTATCTGCCTTTATACCCGCACTATTGCTGATTGCCTCTTAATCTTCCTATAAGAATTTTATCTTATGAGGTGGGAATTGCTAAAATCATATAAGAAGACATCAACACATTCCCTCAACTAATATGTGACACTTTAACACCCATGCACATCCAATCCGGGTTATCTGGTGTGCGGACAACATAACATGGGGGCCAAATATTGGGTAAACAAGAATGTGGATGAGTTTGATTCTAATATCGTATTTTGAAGATGACTCTTGAACTAGTTCAATCCCAAAAGTTAGCTCATGTGATGAGAATTAAAATCGTATAAGGAGATAATAACCATTCCCTCAACCAATATTGGTTACTTTAATCTTCCTCTTCAATCACCGCTTCATCTCTCCCAACTCCCACCCCATGTTACTAACTCCTCTGTCTAGCCTTGGTCTTTGTGTCATATAATTTTTTTGTTACAACTTTGTATAAGATCCCTAAATTATCTCTCTCACTTCTTATACTTTACCTCCATATGTGGCATTCAGAAATTTTTTCCTCTTTCTTGTGTTAGCTCATCAATGGAAGAATTTTTGTTGCAATCACCTACCTACCTTGACACCATTGATTTTTTCAACAACTAATCTCCTTTGAGATTAGCATAAGCTAAATCCCCTATTAGCTCCTCCCTTCTCATTTTATCTTCCTCGGTTAGACCCCCTTTCCCCTCTTTGCTCTCTAATTCCCCAAGTTCATTCACTAGTTCCAGCAATTTTATTTTCTTGATTGTTCAGTTCTCTCTCTTTTATTTCCATCATTTTGAACACTTCTCTTACAAGAAGAAAGCAACTATGTTTGAATTCCCAACTAATTGGGGTCAACTATATGACTCCTCATTATCTTCATCACTCCATCTTACACCCATTTCATCCTAGTGTTCCATAACTTGCATTCTTTCTAAGCTTGAGGTTCGTTACAATTTCTAGTGACATACACATCTCTAAACCAACTAAAAAGGACTACCCTAGCAAACACTGAACTAATGTAATCGTATTTGCTATGGCGAAGCCTCAATCCCAACAAATTGGCATTGCTTATGTGGATGTTTTCCTTCCGTTTTTTATATTCTCCGCTAAGTCTGCATGTAATCTGAGAATTTTAGGTTTTCTGTGACAACTTTCTTCCATATGATTTTTGGTCCGTCTCATCCCCCGTTAACACTCTCTATTCCACCGCCTTAAATCATTTTGTGATACCTTCAGCTTATTTGATATGAATTCCACTCTAGCTCTTGAAAGTTTGGGGCTTGAACCACATGTTTTCGAATTTGAACAATACAATAAGTTGGTGTATCTGATGCTAGCTGAAGAAGAGGAACTTGAATAACATTTGGGAGCATCAGAAACATCTTCTCTTGTACCCTGTTGAGTTAAGAAGCCAATTGTGTCATGATCTAGATTGACATGTCGATTGACAGAAGGAGGTCAACAAATTGGTGGCAATTGATAAGTAAAAAATTCCTTCATCGTCTTGGAGAATGACTGACATCTTCCAGGGGGAATCTGTTGTATTGAAAGTTCTCCCTATAACCCATAAATCTGCTTCATCCCAACATTTTAGTGCCTCATCTGTTTGCTTGTAGAAACCCCTCAAATCCCCCCTCAATTTTTCTGTCCTCACTTTTAGCATTTGCACATCCATTGCAGTTATTTATTCACGAGAGATGCGAATTAAGTCGTTCACTGCCTTGTAGAAAGATTCAGACTCTTGCTTGTTATATCAGACGCACCAAATTGTCTTAGCTTTATTCTCCATTGCCACTGTGCAAGGTACTTTCTAGGTCTGGAAAAGATCAGTTTTTTTCTTTTTCTTTTTTTGAGTGTTAAAGGAGGGGTAGTTTTCTTTGTTATAGAAAGTGTGCCACCTCATAAGCAAAAAGCCCTATAAGAGATGTCTTAACTTTTGCAATTAACAAACTTTGAGATATTATTTTTGTATATCCATACTAAATCAATAATAGTGTCTCCTCAGGGAACGTTACAGAGACCTCATAAAGCAGTGCCAAGCAATGCATTCCAGTGTAGGAACTGGTTCCCTTGCCTATGTTGTTGGGTCCAAGGTCTTGGATATGAGAACAAGTACCAAAGATGACTGTAGAAGAGAAGCGGATGTCAAGGGCAGTCAAGCTTCTAATGTTAATACTGACAATTTAGACAGTTACAGTGATTTTGATAATAATTGTATAAACACATCACATGCACATCACAGGGAAAGCTCTAGTGATTCTTGTGACCTTATAAGTGCAAGGGGAAGCACAGATAAGGCAGCATTGGACTCTTTTTGTTCTGTGCCTACTTTGGGTCCATATGACCGCAGATCCACCGAACTTGGGGGTGAAGCATGTCAATCAGAATTTGTAAATGAGAACTATTTTGATTTTCCTCCTTTACCTGTTACAGATTTATTTGAAATGAGTAGCAAAAATAAGAAAGGTCCTAGGTCATATGATAAGACAATTTTGGCAAGGCGTAAATTGAAATTTGGAGAGGACAAGATGCACAGCTTCAGAATAAATAATAATGCAGATATTGTCATAGAAGCAAATGTTTCCTCATCATATGGCGTATCTCGTTCCCTGAACTCTGAAATTGTGAGGGTTCATCCTAGTGGGCCGGATTCAGTGTCGTGGTCTGGAAAATTCCAGGAACACGAAACAGAGATTTTTGACAGACTCATAATATCTGACGCACCAGACACTCCAAATATGAATGCTAAAACACCTCCAAGAGGTGGTTTCAGTGATGAAAGAGTGTCGGAATGGCTCTGGACATTACATCAGATAGGTGAGTTCAGCATTAATGATCACCTCTTTTGTACAAACTTTTTTATTTCTTTTACCTGCAAATTAGTGATATTGGAACAGAGTTTCCTTTTTGCTTTTAGTTGTTGATGTAGTCAGAACAGATAGCCATCTTGAATTCTATGAGGATACAAAAAATTTGGCTAGAATGTCAGATATCCTGGCTGTTTATGCATGGGTTGATCCTGCAACGGGATATTGCCAAGGTTGTTCCTTTTCCTCTGGCCAAAGTTCTTTTTTTGCTGCATCATTTCAAAGCTCTGAAGAAATTCCTTTATTTTCTTCTGTCCTCTTACATGATATTTTTTTCTTCTAGGAATGAGTGATCTCTTGTCTCCTTTTGTTGTTCTGTTTGAGGATAATGCTGATGCTTTCTGGTGCTTTGAGATGCTTCTACGGAGAATGGTCTGTACATGAACATTGATTTCGTGTGTTATTTCAGACTTTAGTTTATCATTGTAATCCTTTCTTTTTTGTGCTTGTGACTTTATTTAGTGCTTCTTTCTTTTCAGCGTGAGAACTTTCAGATGGAAGGGCCAACTGGTGTCATGAAGCAGTTGCAAGCTCTATGGCATATTGTCGAATTTACAGATCGACAAATGTTTTCTCATTTGTCAAGCATAGGTGCTGAAAGCCTTCATTTCGCCTTCCGGATGCTGTTGGTGCTCTTCCGCCGAGAATTATCTTTTAATGAAGTTCTTTGTATGTGGGAGGTTTGTGTTTCTAGTTTTATCGAGAACTGGAATGTTGGTTGCAACAAAAAAGATGTCATGCCCTAATAAGAATGCACCTTCATTAGTAGGAAAAGTACTACTGCATCAGAAGTTTTCTCATAATATGATGGATTTGTTACTTGGACCCTTTAGCAACAAGTTCTAGTTTCTGGTCTACTCCTCTCTTTCTATTTTCCTAAGAATACAGAAAGAGATGAAATATGAAAAAGATAGTGGTGTGCCTATTTATTTATATACATCACAACTTCAGCTCTATTTAGCTTCATAGCATCATTTGAAAGTGGCCACTTAATCAGCTAAGTTTTGGCCTCCTTCAACATTGCAGGGGTATGAGTGTATCACCCTTCAAGCTCTCTACCATTTATTGCCACTTGTTTATCCTGGATGTAGCATCCTCCATTTTACATCCATCAAGAACATATAATTGTGCGCACTTGTAGAGAGGAAAAGGAAAGAAAGAAATATCAAAGAGAGACAGTAAAGTTCAGAGATATCAATTGACTAAGAGTCCATTCAACACGATTGTCATGCAATATTGTTGATATTTAATATGGATAGTTTTTGTCTATGTTGCTCGGGCTCTTCAAAAATGATGTTGTTTCCGTGTCGGATCCTCCAAAAAATTGCACCACATTTGGAGGATCCGACACGCATCCACCAGCATTTGAAGAATCCGAGCAACATGGATTTTTGTTCCATATAGTCACAAGTATGCTTTATCTTCAAATTCATTAGGTGTTTTAAGTTGTTATTTATCTGCTTATCTCATTTGCACCTTGCAGATGATGTGGGCTGCGGATTTTGATGAATCAATTGCTTTTCATCTAGGGGAGAACTGCCCTGAAATATTGGTCATTCAGATTCCAAAGGAATCTGAGGCAGAATCAGGAGAAGAAATTGTTGAGAATAACAATAACGACTCAAAGGATGACTCGCGATCTAAACATGGAAGTGGAGAGCCTACCATCTCTGAAAACAATGGGATGAAGCTCTCCTTAGCTCGTCCATTTTGTGGATTGACTAGGAATATCTGGTCCAAAAATAATGGCATACCCAGTTTTAATATGGTCTCATCAGCAAGGAGTAGTATTGATGAATTACCAGTTTTTTGTGTAGCAGCTATTCTATTCATGAACCACCAGAAGATCCTCAAAGAAACCCGCTCAATTGATGATCTGATAAAGGCAGGTGTATCAAACTTAACATCTACTGTTCTGTATACTGATCATCGTTTTTGATGCTCACAATTGTGTGATTCTGCCCTTTTTTCATTTTTAATTGCTCTGTGTATGTTTCTAATTCAAATGTAATGTGAAGTCATCAGATTGTCAACTCTACATAATGTTGCTTATTTTTCTACTAATATACTACTACAGATGACAACATTTGCTTATTTCTCTTTATCTGTTTCCTTGTTTTTCATTTTACTTGATTGTTATAGTTTAATTATTAATACCCTTAATTGCTTCCTGCATCGTGTTTCCAACGCATGCTAGCAAGGTATTATGCTAAAGCATCAGGTTTTGGCATTATTGCTAGTAACCTCCTTCTAAATTTTGCATTTTGTTGTACGCAGGGCATGATGTGATGTACCTATACTATATAAATTTGTGATCAGTGATTACTTCACTACAGCCGTTGCTTAGTGTTATTTAGGTCCTAGTGTTGTCGAAAGGAACTTTAAAGATAATACTCTGAAGTTAGTATCTAGGTCCATTTTTGCTGCTGAAGGGCTAAAAGAATTTTAAGGATGCCAGATTATTTTTGTGTCTATCATGCTCTTTATATTTTAAAGAATGTTTGTCCTAGCAACCAATTTATGAATTTACTATATTAACATGCTGACTTTATCTCACTTCATGAAGATAAGTGTTCAACTTATTATCTTCTTCAGAATATGGTGGTTGATTATATTTCATTTTGACTGGTTTTTCAGATGCTTCCTCATTTTTACCTTGGTGCTACTGCTATCTGATGTGGAAGATGTTCTTGAATTATTTTGTGGCACCTTCCTCCCCCTCCCCCTCCCTCTGTGTGTGTGTGTGTGTATGTATATTTACCTGGCTTATAAGTGCTTATAAGCTATAACACACGTGCATATCGCATGAAAATTATGAATTTGTTGGAGTTACATGGTTACCAATTGTTTCATGTGCCTTAGTAATTGTACTGATAATTAAATGTTGAACATGTGTCAGATATTCAATGACAATATGTTAAAGATTCAGGTCAAGAGGTGTGTACGGACTGCCATCAAGCTGCGGAGGAAGTACTTTTACAAGGTTGTTTCTGCTAACCTTCTGGCATTGGATTTTTATACTTTTTCCTGCTCAGTGGGATCATTGCATTTTCCATACAAGATGCACCATTTGTTAGTTCCTATTTCTAAACTTTTACCTCGACAAGTAGGTCTTGCTTTTAAAAACCTGCTGGTTTTAAATGTCTCTCTCCTGTTTGAAGCAGCTGATTAAAGGTAGAAACCCGGCAGCCCAAAATGGTGATTAAGTGTTTGGTCTCTTTCATTTGCTTTGATGGCAAGGGAGATCTCTCACGTGGAGTTGTTAAGTGCAATATTATTTTAACGTTGGAGTGCAGAACATTTATCAGAAGTTGTTTATTTGGAGATTATACAGCTAAGTGTAGTGGCATCTGAGTGTACGTCCATGCACTTGTTGCACCTTCATCCAAGGTACTCTGCAATTATTTATCTCATCTGAACCCAATACAGTATTCTTGTTTAATTCCCAAAATTCTTGTTTTTGACAATTTATGAAACTCGACTTCTTATGGACCATGCAAATTTCATCTTTTTTCTTTTTTCCATGCCACGGGTTTATTATTAGTGACCGTTGGAGGACTTTTCCTCCAACATGTGAAAAAGGATTTTAGGGTTAAATTAGTTGAGAGAAATATTGATTTCTTGAAGTGATGGGAACTACTCGGAGGTTGAAAATCATCACAAAGGGGCAAGGGTTTGTTAGCTGTTATGGGGCTCATAGTGTAACACAGAACCAATGCCTTCAGATTTTAGCGGTCTTCTGCGCCTCCTTATTAGGAATTTCATGTTGACCTTTATCACAGAAAGGCAGTTCGTCCCAAGGATGTGAATCAAAGAAGATTGATGAGCAGGTGTAGCAGAAAAGTAAGCTAAGAAGATGAAGAAACCTAGAGAGAGGAACCCTAAAATGGCTTGGAGAAACAAACATTTTTGATTCATAACATGATCTCATGAAACAAACATGTTGTAGTGGGTAATAGTCTCCTTACATAGTTTTGGGTAATCCTCCCCAAAACTTAAAACAGTGACAAAACATTAACAGTGGTCTCAAAAGAGGACATAATGTTAAATTTTTTGTCTTTTAGGGCCTTAGCAATCTTTCCCTCATGAGCTAGCTTCTGGGATTGGGTTAAGCCCAAGGTTCATCTTCACATGTATGCAAAAGTAGAGTAACTTAAAAAAGAACACGATTCTCTACAAAGAGGATCTAGTCAAAAGTTCTCCAAAAAAGTATACAAAGTCAAAAATGCTGTGCTTATCTGTACAATGCAAAATTCTACTCTTTGAAGCACTCTCATGTTCTTCTCTTTCCATATGGTATACATGAGCACAAGAGGAGTTACTTCCCATGATCTTACTGAGTTTCAACCCAAGCACCACTTTCTTACAGGCTCTAGTATCACCCAGTAGACTCTGAACATTGTTACGCACCATGCACTACGACATGTATGCAATAGTGCTGTGGAGTAGTAGACAAATTCTCATGCTTGCTTGTGCACGAAGCTCAAACCAATGTTGATTGTCCTCCTTAGGTTCTTTGTTTGTTAGGATGGCTCTACCTAATATAGATTGCCCTCCTCAGGTTCTTTTCTGTTCGGATGGCTCCCCATGCATTTGTCTAGGTTCAACAATCTATTTTAGTATGACTTCACTTGGATTAATTCCCAGGAGGTTTGTTGCCTTGGAAGAATTAATTTGCATTTGGTGATAGAATTGATAATGTTGTTTATCCATTCTCTGTAGATCAAAATGCCTATTATGTTTTGAAGTCTTTTCTCTGGATATTTTAAGTAATCTAGCGTAATTCTTACTATGCCTGATAATTTGTCTCCAGATCTGATGTTCCCTACAGTAAAATTACTACAACAACAACAACATTCCAGTAAAATCCCACTAGTGGGGTCTGGGGAGGGTAGTGTGTACGCAGACCTTACCCCCACCCCGAAGGGGTACAGAGGCTGTTTTCGAAAGACCTACAGTAAAATTACTCTAATCTGGAATTCAGACCCGGAATGCATAGTTAGCACCTGTAATCGTTTAACATGCTGATACTTTCAGTATATTCATATGATAGCAAGTATCTCAGCAGGCAATTTCTAGCTTTAAAGTTTAATTTATCTTTGTCATTTCAATTGTAGTGAACTAAAATGCACCTTTTTGTATTTTTCTTCTGCAGGACCGTTAAGTTGCATGTTTCCTTCACCTAGGTTTGTGAATACAGTCAGCTAGTCAGGGAACACGAAATTTTTGCTGTCATATAGTTGGCGGGTGAGATTATGTATCAACAATTTTGATAAACTTGCTAGCATTGAGATTTCTCGGGGAAAAGCTTGGGATGAGGATTAGGAGGCTCATTCAGATAATTTTCTTAAAACGGAACATCAAGAGAAAAATAAAATAAAATAGATTTTTCATATCTTTATTAACCAACTTATGTCTTCAGTCATTACGATGTTGTCCTCTATGTTTGAAACAAAAATGGATCTGTTCTTATCAGTAATAGAAGCAGTGGAAGTATATTTATCCGGCTAACTTCTAAACAATAACACCTAAATGTATCATGCCCTACTTTATATTGGGATTATAAACTTGCAATTTCGGCGTATTTCCTCTAGTTGATGGACTCCTCCGCCCGGGAGGGGGGGGGGGGGGTGTTCAATGCAAGGCGAATGAATGTTCTTCGAAGCTGCTTGAAGGTGTATAAAGATTAACTCACCAGTGTCAGCTCTCTCCACATACTATTCATGAGCTGTTGCTGAGTTGGTGGTGTTGTCCTTTTTCTGGTGTGAAATAGATAGCTTGGCATTTTCTTGTTTTCAGTGAGCAATGTGATCTGAGACTTTCTAAGAGAGATTTGTTCATGCTGGGGTAAGGTTTTCAGGTGGTGTTGAAATTGAACAGAAGAATCTGCAATGTGCTTTACCCACTGCCTGTGCTCCTGAACAAGATGATCAATTTATTGTATTGGGGAAAGAAAAATGAAAAAGGTGAATCTTTGGTGGTCAAGGTGCAAAAGTGCCGTGGTTCATTTTGGTCCCCTTTGGATATCAGTAGTTTTTATTTTAGCGGTTTTCTGAAAGAACTTTGGTATTTGAAAACAATGTTGAGACACTTTTTCAGAAGTCCATTTTCGGAATAAAATAAATCATCTAAATTACACGAATTTTCCGTTTTAGAAACCAAATTTCAACTGCTATGCATTCGATTTTCATCTTTCATGACCTTATTTATTTCATATTTCATTAAATGTCCACTTACTCGATCGTCCTATCATGTTTCAAAACTTCAAAAAACTGAAGGCTCTGATTGAGTTGTTCATCGGGCAGCAAACATTGAAAGGAGAGAAAGCGTCGCTGTGGGCTTGGTGGTGAAGGTGCTTGGATTTCAAAATAACGCCATTGTAATGACATATCAACAAGGGCAAATCCAACATATTAGTTATGGGTTCAATTGAATCCATGTATTTTATCCTAAACCTAAATTTTCAGTATAAAATTTATTAAAATTGCTGAAAAAATTGAGGTATGAACCCATAATCCAAATAAGGCGATGGATTCAGTGGTTGACGTCGAAATTTTGAACCCATAAAATTAAAATTGTGGATCTGTCAAACAGTGGCGGAGTCAGAATTTTCATTAAGGGGAGTCAAAATATAGAGAAATAAACTCACCAAGAAGTCAAGGAGTATCATTATATTGTACATAATTACATATACATTTTAAAAAAAATTGCGGAGTTATACAATGTAATTTTTCGATGAATGGGTATCATTGGCACCCGTTTGATGCATGCAGAGGCGGACCCAGGATTTAAGCGTTACGGGGGCACCATTATTTTTAGTATGCCAATCACCAACAATAAAGTTCGGGTGTAACTCTTTGAAATGACTATGATAATTTATCATCAAAATAAAAACAACAATATTATCAAATACCATTAACGTGATACTAATATAACAAAAGTATATTGTCCACTCATAGTTGAACTCGACGCGTTTTCATATTTTGAAAACGGTCAATAATAGCATCATTGCTTATATTTACAAACACTTCCTTCTCAATGTAACAAACTAAACAATCATTTAAAAATGCATCACCAATACTACTACGCAATTCATCTTTGATGTACTTCATAGATGAGAATGCTCTTTCCACCGTTGCAGTTGCGACAGGTAAAATTAAAGTCAACTTCACAAGCAAATAAACAAGTGAATAAGTCTCCACAAGATTTGTTTCAACCAATGCTTTCGCCAAATCACCAATTCCTTTCAAATCAGAGAACCTAGGGTCACCATGTTGCATATGCCATATGAAAGTGTCAAGTTGGCGACTAAGATCTCGAAGCTTCAATTCACCAAACTCATCGGGATAATGCTTGGCCAATGTCATTATTCTTTCCTTATCAAAATTAGCAAATGAGTTAGCCGGATTCAAGCTAGCCATACCAGGAAGCAAGTTACTACTCACAACATCAAAACGACTACTAAGCTCCAGAAGTTGCAAATCAATCACGGCATAAAAAAGCTCAACACGTAAGTGATGCAAATAAGTAACACTAGAAGGCCTACGCTTCGACTTTCCAGGAATATAGAATTCTTCCATCTTGGGCACCAAAATATCATGTTTTGCACAAAATAAATATACTTCATCCATCAATGGTTCCCATCCTTTATCTCTCATTCCTTGCAACCTTTCCTTTGTGATATCAAGAAATACCATGGCATTGACAATATCTTGATCTTTCTTCTGTAATGCTTTGCTCAACTCTTTTGACATTATCAATACTTTCAACATTAAGTGAAGCAAGAAAACAAATTCATATGCTTTAATTTTACTAGAAAAAACTTCTGCTTGCAACCTATCATTAACATCACCTTCACATTCAATCACCCCAAGTACATGAACAATAGAAGAAAATAAAATAACAAAGTTATCCAATGTTTTACAATGTGATCCCCAACGAGTGTCACCTGGCCTTTGAAGCCCCCGCTCTTGATTTAATCCTTTCCCACTTTGAACTTCACCACTGTCTAACAATTGCTCCAACAATTCTGCTTGATGATCCCGAAGTTGATCTCTACGCTTAAAAGAAGCTCCAATTATATTCAACACGTTAGTAACAATAGCAAAGAAAGTCTCAACCTCCTTGTGTTTTTTAGCAACAGCTACAAGCGTCAATTGTAATTGATGTGCAAAACAATGAACAGAATATGCCCATGGAGTTTCTTGCAAAATTAAAGCTTTAAGGCCATTCATCTTTCCCTGCATATTACTAGCCCCATCATAGCCCTGTCCACGTATTTTGGATAGACTTAATGAGTGTTTCATTAGCAAAGAAAGTACTGCATCTTTCAACGACTTTGCAGATGTATCACAAACACGAACAAGACTAATAAATAGCTCGTTCACTTGGCCTTTTTTGTCAACATACCGCAAAGCAAGGGCCATTTGTTCATGGTGTGATATATCCTTGGACTCATCAACTAATATCCCAAAATAATCTCCATCCAAGTCATCAATTATAGCTTTCACGGTCTCTTGTGCACAAGCACTCACAATATCCTTTTGAATTTTTGGCGAAGTCATCATATCATTTTTTGGAGCATGTTTTAATATAACTCTATCTACATCTGGAAGCCTATTTCCAAGCCATTCCAAAAGCCCTAGAAAAAGGCCTTTATTTTTTGAAGATTCACTTTCATCGTGACCACGAAAAGGCAATCCAAAGTCCAAGAGAAACCTTGCAACATCAATTGAGGCATTTAAACGAATTCGATATTCAGTTTTTTGTTGATCGGATTGCTTTTCAAAAGCAGCTTGAATTGATTGAGATTGATTTGACAAGGCTAACATATTGTTGAAGCACTTATGGTGGAGATTACTTACTTCACCAACATGTAGATCAAATCTTTCGGTTGCTTTATTCCAACCCTTAAAGCCGGTTTTTGTGAAAGAGTCACTCGTGCTTCCATTAACGTAATCATTTTTGAATAAATAACAACATAAACAAAATGCGGCATCTTTCTTCACACTATACTCTAACCATCTAGAATGCGAACCTTTAAACCAAACCCGAACTAAATTGGCGCATTTTCTTCCCAAATAAAGTTTTAGGAAATTTGTGATCTGGTGGCAGGGCCCTCTTTGGATGTAGTGTCTTCTCACTTCATCCCGTATTCTAGGGCTATATCTATCAATGGGTATTCTCTCTCCGGGGTCGGTATTAAGTGATTTCACATCGAACTCTTCTACAAGATGGGAGGAATTGTCTCTAAAACTAGAACTTGGTTGAGGAGAATTAAACCGCGTCAAAAATTTGTCCATCTCAATTCACATCAAGAGAACTTCCTACAAAGCAATAATGCCAAGCAAAATAATATTTTTAATATGATTAATCACAAAATAATACTAGTGTCCAATATATGTAGCTGAAATTCATCCAAACTTTCTGAGGAGTAAAAAGAAACAGCAAACTAAAAAGTGAACATTGGTTCAAAGAGCTCACCGTTTCTAATTTTTTAAGAGTCGAACAAACAATAAATTCAAAAACTAAAAGTACACCTTTTGGGGCCTTAAAATTTTTGGGGCCTAAATCAAAGGCTTTACTAGCCTCAACAAAATCAAGAAAAATTACAGAAAATTCAAAGATTCAATCAAAATAGAATAGCCAAAAGTGAGAACAAGACACAAATAAGAGGCAAGCAAAACCTTCTAGTTAAGCCCCTTCTCAATCGTATTTTAAAAGGAATTTTTTTAAACCCTAACTTAGAAACTGAAATTTACCATTAGAAAAGTGGAAACAAGACGGAAAATTCCAAGTATAATTTTTAAAATCTTACCCAGAAAAAGATTGGCAGCTGCTTGATGCCTTGATCCCTGAAGAAAGAACGTGTGAATCTATGAAAGAACGTGTGAATCTGTGATGGTGAAAAGGTGGATGAAATTTGTTTTGGTCGTTTGGGTTTGGCAGAAGGATGTCAAAAGAGAGAAAAGGGAGTACTGCGTTGAAATTCTCTCAAAGAGAGAGAAAAGGGTACTAGTAGGCCCGTTGAAATTACCAAATGAGACCCAATCGAAAAAATTATTTTGATTGTTGAACCTGAGATTCGAACTTGGGTCTTGAAGAAGCCAACTACTCCACAAACCAATTCTTCTATCCAGTCATTGTGACTAAGGATGCCGCATAATATATTTATAGGGGTCCTTCCTGTATTAACTTATATATATAGAATATATATACAATATTTTTACCGAGGCCAACGGGTGCCCGTGCCCCCCACCCCCAAGCGTAGGTCCGCCCCTGAATATGACAAGTCCTTTTAGGAGCATATTTGAAAACCCAACAGAGAAGGAATGACATTTTTTTCTTTTGGAATTTTCTAATATTTTTCGGTTATTTCTAATTCGGATATCAAGACAATAAATGAGGAAATATTGAATAATTTCTTAACCTAATTCTCTGAAACAAAAAGATACATTTTTTAAGAAATTTGAAAGCACTTAGTCTTGGAAGAAGAAGATGAAATATAGAGAAAGGAGGGTTTAGTTATTTAAGTGTTGGAATGAGTCGGGTTTAAGGCTATTG